GGATGTAGGTCAAAAATAGTTCTAACGTTGGGCTTTTTACTATCCGTGTGGCCTTCATCTCAGAACTGAGCAAATGTTAGCAAACGCGAGTTACAATAAATGGACGCTGATATCTAGAGAGGCTGCATTTTAGAAATACTTCAAACTTGGTACCCGGTACCCGGTCAAAAAACGGGTACCCATAAAACGAAAAATACGAATATATAACATTAGATTATGAGAAAACGTGTAAGATTTGTTTTGAATTCACAAAAATGTATGTAACATCCTTCAAAATTGAGCTAGAAGCTTCAAATAAAAAGTATATTTAAGGCTCTTTTCTTCCTCTATCGTCATGGCCATATTTTCATCGGTTATGGGGGGGGGGTGCGATCGCACCATCGCACCATCTCCTGGCTACGCCTATGACATTGTAAGACATAACAATTTACAATTCAGTGGACATTTTGTCGAAAATTGGGATAACTTAAATTATGATTAATAATCAAAATCATGTAAATTAACACGTCACCTCCCTGCTAAAGCAACGATAGCTATTTACAGATTTAAATCATAATCAAAACAATTCACGTACCAACAAACAAACTATTGAAAATAGAGTAAGATTGATTTGTCTTGTTTTTCAAATCGTCTTACAATGTCATTGGCGTAGCCAGGAGGAGGTGCGATCGCATCATCCCCCTCCCCCTTTCATTACCAATGGAAATATGATGATAGAGGACGAAAAGAGCCTTAAAATGCTTTTTATTTGAAGCTTCTAGCTCAATTTTGAAGGAAGTTACATACATTTTTGTAAATTCAAAACAAATCTTACACGTTTTCTAATGATCTAATTATGTTGTATATTCGTATATTTCGTTTTTTGGGTACCCGGTTTTTTCGACCGGGTACCAAGTTTGAACCCAGCATGGAGGATTTACTACCCGGTACCCGTTTTTTTTCTACAAACCCTATCTAGAAAAGTAACCCCATTCCCTATAATTTGATGTAGATTAATCGAACCCCTATATCATGGGCTTTCAATTGAAAGAAAATGCCATGAATAGGTACATTTTAATATATGGGGGTAAGCGTTTCATAGTTGTTCACGACGCCAGAAGTGCAAAGTATTGTTCCGAATTTTTGAATTTCGTGTTAGATTACGGTACTCACACCTGAAGCATGGTTTTTGCTTTTGAAAAATTACAATACAGTTTAATAATATTCCTATACGTATTTTGTGAAATTGTGTTGACGTTTATTGAAGTTACAATGCAATGGTGCATTGTATTTGATTAATCAGTATCTGGAAGTTTGATTTAAGTACTTTTACACGCTTTTACATTAGTCCCAATCACGCAAATCCTTGAATGTCCCGGGACATCCTGCAAATTTAGGTGAATGTCCCGCGAAATCCCGCAAATTTAGGGCACTTTGTCTAAAAAATCTGTCCCTCTATCAAGTTTTTGGTGGTAAACCTGTTAACTATAGCGCAATTAGGGTGTTTGTCCCTCGAATGGTCCCGCGAAATCCCGCGAATTTGATAAAAAATTTGGCTTATCAGCGCAATCACGCAAATCCCTTAAATGTCCCGCGAAATCCCGCGAATTTAGTAGATGTCCCGCAAAATCCCGCGAATTTTGGGCACTGGGTCTAAAAAATCTGTCCCGCGAGAAAATCTTTAGGGGTTGACAGTACTGGTGATCGTGAAACATTGACAAATAATGATTCAATATTGTTGAGCCAGTTGATTTTTACGGGGACCACAGAAATGAACAAATATTATAACTCCGAGTTATAATTTCTACGGCGACCCTGCGGCCTGTAAAAAACTGGATACGCCATGCAGAGGCCGCAAGGCGAGCGTAGTTTTCCTACACTCACTGCAGAAATATACTGATTTAATTGATCTGCGGTCGACGTACGGTCGCTGTACGACAAATGTGACTGGGGTATAAGCCAGAAAAGCATACAATTCTGAATACATACATAATAGGTTCTTCAACTTGACAGAATTCATTTTTCTTGCTTGTCTGTGAGACGAAACTATGAATGTAGAAGGTTTATAGCACGATTGATAACAATTTCTGTAACCAATCATATTATGAGTATAGGGGTAATCTAATAGGTATGACATTAAATTGTAGAATCATATATTATTTATGAATTTAAACACAAAAACAATTAATCAAAACAATCTAGCTGCATAAACACCCAGGAGTCAATTGAGATAATGGGATAAAGCTATGATTAAGGCGGGCCTAGGAGATGTACTTTTGGAATGTGCAATATGTTAGGATTCAAGCTTATAATCGGGTTGGGTCTAGAGAGAATTTGATGAGGTCTAGATCTGTTGTGAAAGGTGTTAGTATATTAAAATCTTCATGTTAAAGGCCCCGTGTAAAGTTTAGAATATAGTCAGTATATGCAAATCTTCATGTTAAAGGTCCCGTGTAGAGTTTAGAATATAGTCAGTATATGCAAACCTTCATGTTAAAGGCCCCGTGTAAAGTTTAGAATATAGTCAGTATATGCAAATCTTCATGTTAAAGGCCCCGTGTAAAGTTTAGAATATAGTCAGTATATGCAAACTTTCATGTTAAAGGCCCCGTGTAAAGTTTAGAATATAGTCAGTTTATGCAAACCTTCGGGCAAAAAGATTGAGTTATTAAGCATTTGATTTCTTTTAACTTATACCTAAGATAATTTCTATGGTTTCTTCATTTTTGAGCTATTTTTCAAAAAAATACTATACCAATAAAGGCTAATAATCTGAAACTTCACTTCGCTATTTCCCAACAAAATAAATCAGTATTAGTGCCCTTTTGATACCAAACTTCAGGCCAAGGGAAAAGTACTCTTGAGCTGAATCTCTTTAGACTACTTTTCCCCTGGCCTATACTTCTTATCAATACCTCTGATCCATCATGAATCATATATTTCACAATATCATTTTAAGCTGATTAAAGTACTGTAGGCATTTGTTTTGGAAACAAGACAACTTATGACGGACATGATTTACAATACCAAGGTAGAAATCAATAATCTCCAATGAAACAGTCTGATCATTTACACAGAGTTGAATAGAATCATTTACAAGCTAAAGTCCACCTGCATGGAGAATTTAATGATATTGATCGATAAGTAAATACAATCTGTTATATATGCAGTTTTTCTGAAAGGATCAAAATATAGGTATAAGAGTAACATTAAGCTTCAGCCCAGTGTCTGAAAATAATTTCCATGAACAACAGGCTTTGACTGACAATCTGACAGGACAAAGTCTATATTTAGATTCATAAGTAAATATTATACATACATAAGCTGTAAGATAAATAGTCTTTGATATACAGTATTACAAACTTTATATAGCAACAGGATATATACATATATCAAAGGACATAAATATATATATTGCAGGACTAACAAGAATCATATAAACTGATGGTGTAACACACGTCACAATGTTATAAAAGGTAAATGCTATAATCTTCTCTCTATAATATGTGTATAATATGCAACGAAGACAGGAATATTACTGTTGGAAATGATAATAGAACATTACATGTGTATGAATGCCATGACTTGAGAATTGTTGCTGCATATAAGTGTTTATGTAAATGAGGTATCATTTAAAAGTATCATTATATTATTAAGTATCATTATTATAAAGTATCATTATTGTTTATATTTTGAAGTACATGTTCTCTAGATGTTAACATTATAAAATCCAAAACTGTTAAACTTTTGAAGAACGTGATAACATGTATACATGTGTACTGGTACATCATTGTACATATTAAGTCCCAAGGGGTACACTATACAATCAGGATCATAGGTTCGACCATCATGTTTCAGTATCTTCCCATACCAACCATTCAAATTTCAACCCCCTTACCAATCAGTTCCTAAATTTGAATTCAATGGAAATGACACCCAAAAACCATGCCAATGCGAGAATATTGACCAATTGTCCCAAAAGACCATTTTAGAAATAGAAACCAGATCATAGAAACAAGCCAAAATTACCTCAAATTCTGGATGGGGTTACAACTGGATGAATGCCATAATACAAATGTGAGGTACAAAAAATAATGTGAGGTACCAAATACCACGACCATTCTCAAATCTGGAAGTGGAAAAATCTAACCATTGCTATACAAATTCAAATATTTCAAGGTCTTCTTTCACCAGATCCTGAAATTTGGGTCTTTTACTAAATGTTGAAAACTATAAAATGCCTAGAGTATTCTTAGGAACTGCATATAGTTACTTATAATACAGATATCAAATTAAAATCTTTATTGTTGAAAAGGTAACCTTAATGTCGTGCCAGAATCAGATATTTATTGATTTCATATTAAAAATTTGATGTTAAAATTGCTGAAGAATTTTTATTGATGGAAGAAGTATAACAATTGATTACACCAGGTTTGATTAGCCTCAATTTACTTCAGAATTTTAGCATTTTAGTTTGTCTTGGGTCTTAACTTATGGCCCATTTGAACTTATTTTATCTAGGCTTGAACCTCAACTAACTTGCGCTCAGATATATACATATACTTGCATAAGAACCTCATTCATATTTTGACTTCAAAATCATTTACCTTGAACCTTATTTATTTATGTATAATTGTGTCTAATCATGAAAACTGGGCTAGGACCCATTGTTAGAGATTTGCAGCTAATTTGAATTATGTTTCATTGGCCTATATCATGTAGTAAGCATGTCCCAAAATCACCTCATATTTTATCAGATTCAGACAACAATAGTGCAAGCCACAAGAGTACATATATGTCACATTGGTCATATGTCACATTGGTCATATGTCACATTGGTCTTATGTCACCTTGGTCTTATGTCACATGGACTTAACTTCTGTCCATTGGGCTTATAACTAAACCTTCTGCAATAGTGCAAACCACAAGAGGACATATATGTCACATTGGTCCTATGTCACATTGGGCCTATGTCACATGGGCTAACCCATGTAACCCATCCATTGGGCTTATGATTCCAGACTAGTTGTATCAAAGAATGATAAAAAACGAAGTTTTACCAATGGAACAATACAACGGATCTTCTAGTGACACTAGAGCACTTTCTCGGCAAGATGATAAAAACAGTGAGTAGTTTGCGATTTGCATGCTTAGATGAGGATCATATCACATTAACTAGATAGCTCTTGCATCAAACCTTTTGACCCCCCTCCCTCCCCTAATAACACCTCCCCTACTTGCTCACAAATAGGGAAATAGACAATAGGGAGGGATGGGCCAAAGGAATGATGCAAGGCTGCTAGATTTATTTCACTTTGTTATTTAGTTCAGATGCTTCGGGTGGATTGACAATTTGGCAGAAGTATTTTGGTCAGCCTTTAGAGTGTTAAAAGGAATATATAGAGATATTCATTTTGGGTAAATGTAGAAATCCTTCATTCTTTATCTCTTCTAAAGACACAATGTACCACATACTCAACTAAATACCTTGTTTTCTGACTATATATATATTTCGTTATTTAGAGACTGCAAATCCTTTTACCTCCATATTCACTTCCATATCTTAGGATAGAATGCAAATTGCTAATTCTGATGTTCTGTTCATCTTCACTTACTCTCTGGAGGCCCATTAGGCCCGAATCACCATAATCTTTATGAATTTTTCAGTAGCATTATCGTGTTTGTGGTTCACATTCTGATATTAGAGACTAATATTATATTTTATTCAACGATGTTGAAACTATAGAAAGTCAGCTTCTCTTACATGCAGACTTTCTCAAATCATTGAATTACTTGTAACATTGGTGTGGCTACATTGTGGCAATACCCATTTTCTCAAATCATTGCATAACTTGTCATATTGGTGTGGCTACATTGTGGCAATACCCATTTTCTCAAATCATTGCATAACTTGTCATATTGGTGTGGTTACATTGTGGCAATACAGATTTTCTCAAATCATTGCATAACTTGTCATATTGGTGTGGCTACATTGTGGCAATACAGATTTTCTCAAATCATTACATAACTTTTCATATTGGTGTGGCTACAATGTGGCAATTTAGATTTTCTCAAATCATTGCATAACTTGTCATATTGGTGTGGCTACATTGTGGCAATACCCATTTTCTCAAATCATTGCATAACTTGTCATATTGGTGTGGTTACATTGTGGCAATACAGATTTTCTCAAATCATTGCATAACTTTTCATATTGGTGTGGCTACATTGTGGCAATACAGATTTTCTCAAAGCATTGCATAACTTGTCATATTGGTGTGGCTACATTGTGGCAATACCCATTTTCTCAAATCATTGCATAACTTGTCATATTGGTGTGGTTACATTGTGGCAATACAGATTTTCTCAAATCATTGCATAACTTTTCATATTGGTGTGGCTACAATGTGGCAATTTAGATTTTCTCAAATCATTGCATAACTTGTCATATTGGTGTGGCTACATTGTGGCAATACAGATTTTCTCAAATCAATGCATAACTTGTCATATTAGTGTGGCTACATTGGGGCAATACAGATTTTCTCAAATCATTGCATAACTTTTCATATTTGTGTGGCTACAGTGTGGCAATATTGACATTCTCTAATTTTCTGGTGGCATAATAGTTTCATTAGAATTGCATGTTGCTAATAGAACCCTTCAGAGTAGGATGTTGGTATTGTAAATGAATTGTATTGATGTATTGTATGTAATGTATTGTATCTGTTATGTTGTATTATAAATTGTAATGTAAAGTAGGACGTTGTATGAATGATTTGTGGTAAGGTTTGATGTGGCAGTATTACAATTGATGAGGCTAGTATTAGAATTGATGTGGCTTGTACTACAATTGATGTGTCAGTATTTCAATTGATGTGGCTATTTGTGGCTAGTATTAAAATTGATGTGGCTTGTATTACAATTGATGTTTAAGCATTACAATTGATGTGGCTAGTATTACAATTGATGTGGCTTGTATTACAATTGATATGGCTAGTAATACAATTATGTGGCTAGTTTGTTGTGGCTAGTATTACAATTGATGTGGCTAGTATTACAATTGATGTGGCAGTATTATAATTGATGTGGCTAATTTGTTGTGCCTAGTATTGCAATTGATGTGGCTAGTATTACAATTGATGTGGCATGTTTGTTGTCTTGATGTAAATATGACATCACATTCTTTGACGTGGCTACTTGATTTTGATTTTTTTTATGGTTGATGTGGCTATATACTTGATTGGACATGGTTAATAGTTATATAGTTGATGTGGCACCTCTGCTGTACCTGTGATTGATAAGCCAACTTAAACTTAAGTCATATACAAGTAATTGTAATTTAAATGGTAGTTAGTTGACATTTACTAAAATGTCACACTTAAAATAAGATTAGAATTGCAGATTGCATTTCAGATTTTCTGTGTATATAATTAGAATGCCTCCCGTGTGACTTTTGTGATGTAAAACTAAAAGCTCTCTATGATATCAGATATATTAGTGATATAAGTGATATTGATCAAGCAATAACATAAACAAAACCTCATTATAAATAGTTAATGACTCTGAAGCTTTGATAGTTGTTCAACTGCCAATGCTAGCAAACTTTAAGTTGTATTCAGCATTTGCTATGACTACTAATGAATCTGGGGGCTCTTAGATTGCATTGATCATATTTCAGTAAATGATTTCTATGTAATGTTAAGGTTTTAAGTGTTTAAGGTGTTCTTGTAATGACAGCCTCGATTTTGGTTTGTTTCAAGAATATTTGTTCATGTTATCCTCGAGGAGTTGTGGTAACATTTTCATTATAGCCACCATTTTTTTGTTTATTTTTCATCAGGGTTCAACGATCAGCATTTCTTTAGAAATCTTGAACAAATTGTTACATTTTTGTTACATTTTGTAATAACTTACCAGCTGGTGATATTTTGTCATGTTTACTCTAGCGTAGCCAGGATGAGGCAGACGAAGCGCTTGCCTCGTTGCTTTTTAACATCCTTTGAGAAATATTCTTCTAGCAATGACGAGTTGTAAATTAATCTTAGAACTTTTATTATGATTTTTAATCTTAAATCATCAATTTTTGATTCAGTTGTGAATCTCATAACGTAAGGGTTATTTATCATTTTTCTATTGCCTGGCAAGTTAGATAAGGTTTGGAAATATTTTTCGCCTTATCACTTTTTTCTCCCTGTCTTTTTCAGTGGTTCAGTGCATCGTTTGATATTTGAGTGCAACATTTTTTCAAACTATTATGTACTGAGTAAACTGAATGTAAGATTTCCATTAGTTAAAAGATGTCACTGAATGTTTCACGAACAGTTTTAATTTGAAGCTTGGTGCCATTTTCTGTTTTGTGTTCAGATTCAATAGAAATAACACAGTTAAATCCTTTAACCTTGAAGATATTTGTTGAATGAGAAAATCAAATGCTACCAATTGTATTCAAAATATAATGTCATATAAGTTTTGCATCTGTCCCTTCAACCCCTAAGAAGAAGATAGGGGGGAGAGAGTTCAGACCCAGACTTGCACAAGCCACCAATACCCTCTCACTATATCCAAAATATTATTTCACAATATATAAGTTTTGATTCTGTCCCTCCAACCCCTAAGAAGATAGAGGGGAGAGTTCAGACCCAGACTTTCCTTACTTTATGCAAGACTTACCAGACTTTATGCAAGACTTTCCAGACTTTATGCAAGACTTTCCAGGCTTTATGCAAGACTTTCCAGACTTTATGCAAGACTTTCCAGTCCAGACTTTATGCAAGACTTTCCAGACTTTATGCAAGACTTTCCAGGTGCATGTTGACCTAAGATTGCAGTTCAAGATCTCCACTGCTGGCATATATTTTAATGCCAGATCTCTTCCAATATCTCCAGATGTACTCCCAAAGGGGCATTCTCCAATAATACATTCTGCCCATGCAGTTTGTTTCTTATGATCTTCATCACATCAGTACAGTAAGAGTATTTATAGTCCATGTGACACAGTCATAATCATATACAGATCTTGAATCAAGAAAAAGATTCAGTTTAATGCTAATTTCCTCTCATTTTCACTCTTGTTTCGAGAGGGGAACAATTTTCATTGATATTTTGCTGCAAGGGTAGAGTGATTTAACATAAAGACTCTATGATCATCAATCTTTAATATCGCCATTGATAATACCTCTAATAATATAGAACTAATGTAGGTAGTCTGTAAGATGAAACGTTTTAATTTTGGGTTTATCAATTAGTGACTTCAAGAGCTTTCAAAGGGTAAGTGATATCAGTTTCATGCGATCACCATTAATATGTCTTAATCTGATCTTTCTGCACTAAATGATAGGAAGCACTGCTCACAAAATGTCCATTTATGCATCCTTTTAGTCTTAAAGATTCAATGTCTAAAAATGTTTGAGAAATCTGACAAAATATGGAAGTTATGCCTATAGAGGATTTAAGATGCAAAAGTGTCCCATTTCGTTTAAAATAAAAAACGAGACATATTTTTTGCCAAAATTTATCTCCGCAATTCAAAAGATGGCCTCTTCTATTTTTATTACCTCTAGGTTTTAGCATAATAATTTGAGACATTTCGTTGTCAGAATATGTAAAAACCAAACAGTAATTGGGCCAACAAAGATCTAGGGCTGACATGATTACCAAATCAGCAATGTTTTTACACCAAACAGGAAAGAAAATTCAACTAACGTCTCCTTAACCATCACTCATTCGATCATCATTTATTCATGAATGAGATATGGGAGTATTCTTCAAACAAAAATCTATTTATTTCTCAATATCGCCCAAAAACATTCTAAATCCATGTGCTAATTTGATGCATAAGAACGCAGCCTTGGTGTTCCAGAAGCAGTTTTATGAAGTCCTGGTTCTTAATAACTTCAATTCTTTGAAGTCTGTGCAGCACAACATTGATTTTCAATTGGTATTCTTGTCATAAGTCCATTGTAAATCCATTCACTCAATCATGCACTTACGAGGATAATATCATGTAATACGTGCATATTCAAAGATAAAATACATCAAATTACTGATCCAGGGACTGAGAACATGAGCGAATAAAGATACTCAAATTTGCAAATGTGCGAAAATGAGGTCTATGATTTGAAATTCATAGATTAATTCTGTGACCGTTGACTTGTGATTGGAGGAACTCTTTGCAAGAGAATGACTACATCTGCACTCTGCAAATGAGAAAATACCCTTTCCAATATTATGAAAAACACTTTGCAAGAGAATGACTATATCTGCACTCTGCAAATGAGAGAATACCCTTTCTAATTTTGTTTGATTCTGCCTCTTTAAAAGAGAACTTCATCTACATCTTTGAAAATCACTTGGACCTTAACTATACTGAGAATATAGTCAAATTCAAAATGTTTTAAGGGTTTAGGATGTGAATTACAGCTATGGATATTTAGCAGCCCTGAAAATTACCAATAATCTCCTGATAAAGGCCCACTTTGCGTATTTTCAAAGTTTTTGGGCAAAATAAAGACTAACATGCATACACTTTGTTTAACATGTGCATACAATGTCTAACGATCTCTGAACTTTAAATGATTTTTTCTATGTGAGTTTTTTTTTGGTTCAATATTATAGCAAATCAAACTTTGTGTCATATTTGAGCGAGTGTGTAAGTAACATGTTTCAATGATTTTTTTTTTCTTCTAAATTAAGTATAGTGGGCCTTTAAGTTCTGAAAGAAAAATCTCAAAATTAAGCGTAGGATGTTCTAATTATATACACATTTTTATTCCACTCAGATAAAAATTTAGCATACTCCCTCTGGAGTATAAAGAGGAACCAAATGCAATGAACAATGATTATATTAGCATGTTTTGTATCCAAGCCCCTCATTGACTATATCCAGAGATCACAGAGAATGGTTATGAATTCTAAATTCTACTTGTCTCTTCTCAAATTGCTCATCATCCTTTTAAATATCCCTTCTCTGGGGTGCACTTTGCATTTGTCATACCTCACTTTTTTTTTTTACTTTCATTATTAAATGCTGAAAGATGTTTTTCTGTTAGATATGTATGAGAGTTTCTCGTTTAAATGCATGCATAGTATACCAAGTAGCTCTCCTAATTGTCGGCATTTCTTTCTCTTTTGGCTTCATTTTTTCTAGATTTACATTCATTCATTTGGAATTGACTCTCAGAAGACATTTATCTATTCATCCAATATTATATTATGTCTCGACCCTTACAATAATAATCTCCACATTATTGCTAAATCTCTTCATTCATTGTTGATGAAGTAAATAACTAGGGAAATAGCCACCAATAATTATCTGACTCAAAAACTGTTTCAGTTAATAAAAATTCATGTAATTGACCCTTTAGGAAAACTTCACTTTACAAGGCAATCTAGATATGTTGCGTTTATATCATTATAACCATGGAGGACATAAGCTCATGGACAATTCTGTGATAATCTGTTGAGATTGCTTTTTTATCCTGTTAATTTACAAATAGCCCCATCTCCCATGGTTATTAGAGATATTTTCATGGACGAATGGCTCGGGGATAAAAATGAAAATTCTAAATCTAAACCAATTGGTTGAACTGCTGTGGCTTTCTCTGTTGATTGGAACATCTCTGAAGTGTTATGTTATAAATGCATGGAATATAGTGTAATATACAATTTGTTGAACTGCTGTGGCTTTCTCTGTTGATTGGAACATCTCTGAAATGTTGTTATAAATGCATGGAATATAGTGTAATATACAATTTGTTGAACTGCTGTGGCTTTCTCTGTTGATTGGAACATCTCTGAAATGTTGTTATAAATGCATGGAATATAGTGTAATATACAATTTGTTGAACTGCTGTGGCTTTCTCTGTTGATTGGAACATCTCTGAAATGTTGTTATAAATGCATGGAATATAGTGTAATATACAATTTGTTGAACTGCTGTGGCTTTCTCTGTTGATTGAAACATCTCTGAAATGTTATGTTATAAATGCATGGAATATAGTGTAATATACAATTTATTGAACCGCTGTGGCTTTCTCTGTTGATTGGAACATCTTTGAATGTTTAGGCTATATGTTATAAATGCATGGTATATAGTCTGATAGTGGAATATACAATTTGTTGAACTGCTGTGGCTTTCCCTGTTGATTGAAACATCTCTGAAATGTTGTGTTATAAATGCATGGTATATAGTGTAATATGCAATTTGTTGAACTGCTGTGATTTTCTCTATTGATTGCAACATTTCTGAAATATTATGTTATTATAGGCCTACATGGTATACATGCTACTGTATAGTGTAATGTAAATTCTAGTGTGAATATTCTGAAAATAATTACATGATTCAATCATTTAACATTAATAAAGGTAAATAATGTCATTTCCTAAATACCTGTTTACTGTCTAGGGTTCAGCCTGAAAGTCAATAATTCATTATTCTTGTATACTGTAGTATTACAAAGAAATACCTAATTTCAAAGCTTCAATATAAGGTACATGAACGTCATGCTATGTTGATTTCAAAGCATAAAGTCCTTTCGTTTTTATTATCCCACCGAACGAAGTTCGAGAGGGCTATAGGAAAGCCATCCGTCTGTCTGTCTGTCCGTCCGTCCGTCCGTCCGTCCGTCTGTTTGTCCAGGCGATAACTCAAATACCGTTTTACTGATTTGATTCAAATTTTATAGGCTTATGCCTTATGGGTGAAGGACCTCTGCTCGAGAAGGAATTTTCAATAAGGCCACTGAATTTAAAATGGCTGCCATTTTTCGTAAAAAATGTAATCTTTAATAACTCAAATACTAGTTTGCGGATTTGGTTCAAATTTTATATGCTGATGCCTAGGGACACAGTAGATATGTTCGAGTGAAAATTTTCAAGATGGCAGCTAGATTTCAAAATGGCGGCCATTTTTCGTAAAAAAACTTAATCTTTGATAACTCAAATACCAGTGAACGGATTTGATTCAAATTGTATATGATGATGCCAAGGGACACAGTAGATCTGTTCGAGTTACAATTTTCAAGATGGCCGCTGAATTTCCAAATGGCGGCCATTTTTCGTAAAAAAACGTAATCTCTGGTAACTCAAATACCAGTGAATGGATTTGGTTCAAATTTTATATGATGATGCCTAGGGACAAAGGAGCTTCGCTTAAGATGGGATTTTCGAAATGGCAACTGAATTTCAAAATGGCAGCCATTTTTCGTAAAAAAAACGTAATCTTTGATAACTCAAATACCAGTGAACAGATTTGGCTCATTTTTTATATGATGATTCCTAGGGACACAGTAGATCTGTTCAAGAAAATTTTTTCAAGATGGCGGCTGAATTTCAAAATGGTTGCCATTTTTCATAAGAAAAAACGTAATCTTTGATAAGTCAAATACCAGTGAACAGATTTGGTTCAAATTTTATATGCTGATGCCTAGAAACACAGTAGCTCTGTTCGAGAAAAAAATTTTAAGATGGCGGCTGATCTTCAGAATGGCTGCCATTTTTCATTTTCATTTTCGTAATCTTTGGTAACTCAACTGCCGTTCGGTGGGATTTGCAACTCCGTGGAGTTGCTGTTTTTCTAGTTGCTCTTTGAAAAAGTGCTGTATTGCCATTGACTTCTGGTGATGGGTATGTGTCTGTGGTTGTAGACAGGAGAGCCCCACACAAATCGTATCATGAAAATTCTATTTAACCTCTTGACTACCTGGAGTGACGAAATTTCTCGTCATCTCAGAAATGATCTTGAAACCCAGAGTGATGAGAAAATCTGTCACAAAAATGTTCACTAAAATTGCTCTTATTTGAACAA